GTAACCCTATTTCACGTGTAACAGTGACAGGAACCGACTGTAACCCTATTTCACGTGTAACAGTGACAGGGACCGACTGTAACCCTATTTCACGTGTAACAGTGACAGGGACCGACTGTAACCCTATTTCAAGTGTAAAAGTGACAGGATCCGACTATAACCCTATTTCACGTGTTACAGTGACAGGGACCGACTGTAACCCTATTTCACGTGTTACAGTGACAGCGACCGATTGTAACCCTATTTCACGTGTTACAGTGACAGGAACCGACTGTAACCCTATTTCAAGTGTTACAGTGACAGCGACCGACTGTAACCCTATTTCAAGTGTTACAGTGACAGGGACCGACTGTAAGCCTATTTCACGTGTTACAGTGACAGGGACCGACTATAACCCTATTTCACGTGTTACAGTGACAGGGACCGACTGTAACCCTATTTCACGTGTTACAGTGACAGCGACCGACTGTAACCCTATTTCACGTGTAACAGTGACAGGAACCGACTGTAACCCTATTTCACGTGTAACAGTGACAGCGACCGACTGTAACCCTATTTCACGTGTAACAGTGACAGGAACCGACTGTAACCCTATTTCACGTGTAACAGTGACAGGAACCGACTGTAACCCTATTTCACGTGTCACAGTGACAGGGACCGACTGTAACCCTATTTCACGTGTAACAGTGACAGGAACCAACTGTAAACCTACTTCACATGTTACAGTGACAGGAACCGACTATAACCCTATTTCACGTGTAACAGTGACAGGGACCGACTGTAACCCTATTTCACATGTTACAGTGACAGGGACCGACTGTAACCCTATTTCACGTGTTACAGTGACAGGGGTCGACTGTAACACTATTTCACGTGTTGCAGTGACACAACGTTACACGATGTGCGCACGATAGGAATATCATAAATAAGTGGTTGATAGAGCTAGTGGGAATTTCTCTTTAGTCGAGCGGTAGAGTGTCCGGCTAGAGACCGAATGGCGATGGCAGGGTATTTTTCATTACTCCCTCCTATTACATAAGTATAAAGTATATTTCCTAATTAAGCCATTAACATATAGGTTGGACACTTGTACATACGTTAGATGTACACTGAGTAGTTAGATACAGCCACAAGTGACCAGCCTTAGTGCGCGGACACACATCATATATACAATATATATATATTAACATTAAATGGACGTCTCTTTATGTCACAGCAATGAATCATTTAAAATCTTGTACCGTCAGATAGGAAATTTATTTTCTAATACTTCTGTATTAATCTCATTTTTCATTCATTTTGTAAACAAAAAGTATATGTTCAAGTAAATAAGTGTTGTGTTTGTTACTCGGGTGATCCAGTCTGTACAGATATGTCACATATATACACGTATACAGGTAAACTATTTACGATCAGACTGCTTTAAGCAGGTCCAGTGTTATTTCGAAAACTTTCCAATTAAGTATGACTTTTATAAGCATCGATCAATTTTAATGTTCATGTAATCACTGTTTAGTAATAAAATTGTGCGTGTGTGCGCACGATGTATTATTCTCTTTATTGCCTCCAGAGATGAAGATTACCGAAGAATGTTGAACATATATACAAAGCATACGATACATATATAAATGATTACAGAATATGAATAACTTAGATACACACTTCATGCTTTAGGAGTAGGCATATCAAGTGCAAATTAAGCGAAAGGGGGTATTTTAAGGTATACCCAAAGAGTTTCAAAATACAATTTTCTGTCACAAATCAGGTAAATTATAATGAATTGTTAAGTCACATGACTCCTACAAAATGTACATGGACTATTTGTTATCCTTATCATTATATATATTAATTATAATATAGTTTACTCATCTTGAACACACAAATACAGGATTTTATCCTGAATTCATTCAGCTCTTCTGCACTAATTTGATAGTTTACATTTCCTCCAATCAATATATGTAATAACTGAAGGTCTGGGAGAGAGTGTAAATAAACACTAAACAGTATATCAGTGGTATTAATTATACAGCACCACAGTTGGTCCCTCAACTCGGAAGTATAAATACACTGTAGCACTAGATGTGTCATAGGGTCTTGATATAGAAACCCACATTTGTGACATAATTCCATGGTAGTCAAGCTACGAATGGTTACCACTATTTTCATTATGTGATGTATATATTTTCTGTATTGAGGAAATCGAAGTGATAACTTCCATAAAATACTAGGTTTGGGTTGGTTATGTATTTCTCTAAACCTTGTAAAATCATCATCAAACTTCATACGTTCCTTTAGATTGTACTCTTCATATTTCATTACAGCATTATATACTGTTGTTTTCCAATGGCTTTTCTTTCGAAAAATTCCAGTTTCTACAAAAGTATCTAGATTTTGAAGTAGTGAATACTTTTTTAATATTTTGACTATGTCTGGGATGAAACCGATCTGGTATGGTCTACCTAGTCGAAACAAAAATAGTCTGGTAATGAAAACTTTATAAACAAAAGACATTGTTTTCAATCTACACAATCTTCCAAAAAATAACAACTTTCTAATGTCTATATATGCTTCGATAGAGGTCCAACCAAGTAAAGATGTACACATATCTGTTCTGGTTCTCTTTTCAAACCCTTGAATAGATTTAACAATAAAATGTTGCGCCCTTTCTAGCATTATTATTTCGGTTTTTGTCAATTGCCAAAGCTCACATCCGTATAAGGCTGATGGATAAACTTTAATTTTGATAAGCTTCGCCACTGTTAAAGGGTTTAGATCACAAGGATGTGCACCAGAACGAACAAGGGACATCGTACCCGATCTTAACTTATTACAAGCACGTGCTGTTCTCTCGAATGAGTTCTGTTTACAGTTTAATAAGATACCAACATGTGTAATGCCATCAGTCTGTGGTATAATACAATTGTACAGATAAAGCTCATTATACACAGTGCAAGTTCTACTATTTGGGTTTGTGAAGGTAACAATTTTGCTTTTTACAGCAGAGAATGAAAAACGCCATCTTTTACTATAATTTTCACTTATTGATATCATTTTCTGAAGACTTCTAAGACTCGTACTGACCAAACAGATGTCGTCTGCTTGAGTAGGAACATTAACATTTAAATCAACAATTACTGCTCCTAGGCCAGAATTCTCTATTCAATTTAGTAAATCGTTAATAAATACTAGGTACATTTTGGCAGACAATGCCCCTCCCTGTAATATTCCACGTTCCATTTTGAGCAAGGAGGGTTTTAACCCATTGAATAAAACACAACTTTCAACATTTGTATACATACATTTTAGTAAAATCCACGTCTTCGCATTTAATCCTAATTCATAAATTTTGTACAATAGTCCAGCGTGCCACACAGTGTCGAACGCTTTGTTACTATCTAAGAAAGCAACATGAACGTTGGAACCATATTCAATATTGTGACTTATACATTCTTGAAGACTGAATGATGTGCATAGACTACACAAATCATTTTGATAGGCAGACTGTTGTCTATTTGGAAATACACGGGAATTTAAAACTCATTAGATTCTTTGTGCTAAAACCATTTCAAACATTTTAAAAATACAGGTAATAATGTGATCCCCCTGTAGCTGTTGGGGTCTTCTTTCTTTTTACCTTGACCTTTATACAATGTTATAATAATGCCTTTTTTCCAGTCTTTTGGAATGTATTCGTTTTTTATGACATTATTAAATAAGGTGGCGATATATTCAAAAAATACTGTTCCACCATGTTTTATGTGTTCGTATACTATACCGTCCCACCCTCCTGCTTTTTTAGATTTGAGACCTCTAGACACCAAGGCAATTTCTGAAGTGGTAATGCATTCGTTCAGGTATATGTCTACCTCATTATGAACTTTCTTTTCAATTTCGTTCACGCGGTTTATGATTTCTCTTTGGAACGTGTTGTCCAATTCTTCATTCGGTTTATCATGGAACAAATTTTCGAAATGTGTCGCCCACGCTTCGACGATATTTTTGGGGTCTCGTAAAATTACATTTTTGTATTTCATTTCAGTCTGAAGTGTTTTGCTTTGTATAAATGCCAGAATAAATTCTTGTCAAGTTCACTGGATTTTTCTATTTCATTAAATTGTTCAGACATATACCTATTAAATGCATCACGAAGTTTTCTTCTGAAAGAAGTTTTGCTCTCTTTATACTGCAGAAAACTATGAGCGAAATTTCTAGGTTTTCCTTCATTTAGCCATTTTTACCTTTTAATTTGCACCGAAGTGTGCATTTCTGACAATTCTTTAGACCAATATGGTTTTAAATAGCTTTTGTACTTTGTTATAGGCAAGGTAGAGTTGAAGGATTGCAATATAGCTGAAACAATATCTTTGGAGAACTGGTCTATGCATTCGTTAGACATTTGTCCGGCAGGCAATTCTATTAACTTTAAATTATTTCCCAACTCCAGCATATAATTATTAATATTACCGTTATGCAGGACTTTTTTCCAGTTATATTTCACAAAATTTGATGTATTTGATGCATTACACCGATATAGCAACGGTGAGACCATTATAGAACATACAATAGGGCTGTGCTCAGACACATTCATAGCTTCATCATCTAGTACTTCACATGAATCAACTAAGTCAATCTTATTTGACTGGACAAAAACATGGTCAATACAAGTACAGTTACCCGTCTGAGGCCAAAATGTATAACCAGGTCCCTTGCAGTCTGATTGTACGTTGGCAGACAGTAGGTTCATTCTATCTAAAAATGATCAGAAAATTGTGGATCTCTCGTCATCTTTAAATTGGTACCGGGGACCCTTAATTTTAACATTTAAGTCACCTATAACTATCACTAGTCCTTGTTCCGAATAAACAGAGACAAGCGATTCTAACAGGTCTATGTGGTCAGTGAACATTTCAATAGGTTTCGAGGAGGCTGGCATATAAGCCAGAAAACAATATATATGCTCCCCATTCTGAGTTTGAATCTCACTTCCAATAACTCTCGGACTATCCACGGGGATTTCTTGAACAATTAGCGATTTGTCTTTGTACAGAATAATTCGTACATTGACTGTAGTCTTTATGTCCCACATCATCATCATCATCATCATCCGAGTCATCATCCCAGTCATCATCCCAGTCACCATCCCAGTCATCATCATAGTCACCATCCCAGTCACCATCCCATTCATCATCCCAATCACCATCCCAGTCACCATCCCAGTCACCATCATAGTCACCATCCCAGTCACCATCCCAGTAACCATCCCAGTCACCATTCCAGTCACCGTCCCAGTCATCATCCCAGTCACCATCCCAGTCATCATCATAGTCACCATCCCAGTCACCATCCCAGTCACCATCCCATTCATCATCCCAATCACCATCCCAGTCACCATCCCAGTCACCATCATAGTCACCATCCCAGTCACCATCCCAGTAACCATCCCAGTCACCATTCCAGTCACCGTCCCAGTCATCGTCCCAGTCAGCATCCCAGTCAGCACCCCAGTCACCATCCCAGTCACCATCACAGTCACCATCACAGTAACCATCCCAGTCACCATCACAGTCACCATCCCAGTTACCATCACAGTCACCATCCAAATCTTCATACCAGTCATCATCATAGTCACCATCCCAGTCATCATCCCAGTCACCATCCCAGTCACCATCCCAGTCATCATCCCAGTCACCATCCCAGTCATCATCCCAGTCATCATCATAGTAACCATCCCAGTCATCATCCCAGTCATCATCATAGTCACCATCCCAGTCTTCATCCCAGTCACCATCCCAGTCTTCATCCCAGTCACCATCCCAGTCACCACCCCGTCATCATCCCAGTCAGCATTACAGTCAGCATCCCAGTTACCATCCCAGTCATCATCCTAGTCACCATCCCAGTCACCATCCCAGTCACCACCCCGTCATCATCCCAGTCACCATCCCAGTCACCATCACAGTCACCATCCCAGTCATCATCACAGTCATCATCCCAGTAACCATCCCAGTCACCACCCCAGTCATCATCCCAGTCACCACCCGTCATCATCCCAGTCACCATCACAGTCACCATCCTAGTCACCATCCCAGTCACCATCACAGTCACATCCTAGTCACCATCCCCCCGCAGTGACAGTTGCCCCTTATAGGAAGCCTCGGTAAGAGGTCAACTCCGTGACCACGATACTCCATCATGGTCAAAACACACTTTCAAGTTGACCTTTTTTAAATGTCACCGGTATTAAGTCTAAAATACTTTTACCCGAGTTAGAAAAGTAAATATTAGCACGTGATATATTTGTTTTTGCTGAGAGTAAGATTGATATCTGGATCATTTGCCTTCTGACTATTATACTGAATGTAGACCTAATGCTGACAAAAACTCTCGTGGTATAGTAATTATATCTAAAAAAAAAAACCCTCTCAAGTCATTGCTGATCTCTCCTAAAGTTGTGTTAGAATATGTTTTATGGATAAAAATTTCTAAAAGTTTTATGATGTGTAATGAAGACTGTTACTGGGATGCGTTTATATACCTCCGGAAAGTAATAAGTATGCATCTCCCGAAGCTTCCAAAGAAACTGAAAAGGATGTGATAGGTTCTCCCAGAATGGTAACAAAGTTGGAGATTTTAGTGATAAAACACAAATTAGAGATGATTTTGTAATACCAGATGACAACTTTATTTACTCATTACATCTGGTTGAAAATGAAGAGTTAAACTCGTCTCGCTATGATGTTGAAAACTTGAAACTATGTACTGTTTTATACGTAGGGCCAGCTAATGTAAAGCGAAAGTTGATAACTACGGCAGTAAACTGCTTGGTTTTTGTAAACAAGATATTAGGTCTATTGCTAATGATCGGGTCGGACGGGATGTGCTAATAGATAGAACTACATGTAGTGACGTCAGCTTTAGTGATTATCTATCGCTGTCGTCGGATATGTTCCGGTATACAACTGACTGACTGAAATCATGGATTTTGATCCGTTAATATCTGGTGTCTATTGTAGAGTAGCATTTAGCTTTTGTACATTTAATGTTATATATAATTATGATAGTAAATGTCACGAGAATTGTCTTGTATAGACCAAATGGAGATATTGTAGGGAGGAAGATTTTGTAAAACACGTATTTGATGATGAGGCAGGTAACCTACATAGAATGAACGATAAATTAAATGAATTATTAGATAAACAACACGACAACGTAACAAATTAATGTCACTGTAAATTTAATTAGTGAATTGCTCAAGGGCTCTGCTGAACAGGTTTTTGGTAGCAATAATATTTATGGAAAACGAAATTCGAGATGTGAGAATAAGCCTTGGAATGTCACTTACTTCGAGTAGAATTTTAAAAACCAAGGCTAGAATCCACAAAGTGAATAATTCTATGAATTAAACTCACCTCAATAGAGCTAGTAAACGTATGGGAAAATTTTAAATAAAAGTTACAGAAATTATAGACAAATTATTTCATGAATTGAGAAATACTGCTAGAATGGATTTAAAAAATCTAGAATATTATGAATAGATGTGATGGCTCTGTAAAGTAATGCTGATATATATGTATTAATGAATTATACAATACTTTAAAGACCTAAACAAGTCTACTCGCGATGTTGACGACCTTGAACTGGAAAACCCTGATAATAGTATTTTGATGATATCTTGAATTGTGAAATTACTTCCGATGAAATCGAATTCTCTTTACACAGCTCGAAAATCAATAAAGCATCTGGTATAGATCAAATCCTAAACAAATATCTTAAAAGTGCCATGGATATTGTTTTACCAATTTATCCAAAAATATTTAATCTTATTTTGAATACTGCATGTATACCAGATGCACGGAAAATTGACATTATAAAACTAGTATAAAAAACAAAGGCGATCCTAAAAATCCGGATAATTATAGAGCGATCACTTTGTTGTCGTGTCTTGGTAAAGCGTTCACCTCGGTTAATAACAAGTGTTTAAATCTAATTTCTGATGATTTTGATCTGATAAGTTGTGCTCAAGCTTGGTTTAGAAAAGGTAATTCTACAACAAACAATATTTTTGTTTTGTATTCCCTATTCTCAATATATTTTTCACTAGGAAAAACAACTTTATTGTACGTTCATCGATTTTACAAAGGCATTCGATTCTATATGGAGAGTTGGTCTGTGGAAAAAGCTTCAAAAACATAGTTACTGGAAAAATTTCCAAAGTTATTATTAAGTTATGCGATAATACCAAATCATATGTTAAAAATGGATGTGAAAAGTCGGATTTATTCGATTGTGAAATAAGAGTTAAACAGAGCGAAAATTCATCGTCATTTTTGTTTGCAATTTCTTTCAATGATTAAGAGAAGTATCTTGATGGGAAAACTATAACTTGTCCTGGAACAGTAGACAGTACCTCGAACTGTTCATTATCTTATATGGTGATGACACCGTACTGTTATCAGAAACAACAGGTGGTTTACAATCAGCATTTAGACGAATTTGAACAGTACTGTTATACTTGGAATTTGACGATTCATTAAAAAAATAGTTATTTTCTCCAAACGTAAATGTACAAGAACTCCCCATTTTACACATGCAACATAGAATTAGAAATACTTGGATACACCTATCTAGCTTTATTAACTTCTCCAAGTGAAACTATAATGAAGATTTGTTTAATATATTCAATGTAAAAATCTTCACAAAAGTTTGTAGATTTATAGAAAGACTTGATAAATTATTGAGTTCATTTCTATACCCCGTTGTGCTCTTTCTCAATGTAATTATGCAAAAGTAGATTATCATTATTTACAGAAATTGTTGTAATTTTGTACTTATGATCAAACGCCATGTATCATGTTGACTATATGTGTGTTACACACGTAAGTGTGTCAGAGTGATTGGATAAAACCTTAAACATGAACTTTGAACTTTTGAAGCTTGTATTGCAGGCCGTTTCCTTGCTCAGATTTTTTCGTCACGCTCTACTAGCTCTGGAACATTACATGTGCACGTGTTCTGCGTGTCACATTGGCATCCTCACATGTAACAAGACATTGGCCCGTGTGAGGTTGTCCAATATCGCACGCGAAAAATCCCGCGAAAAAGAGTAACCGTGATAACGCCGGTCCAGGGGTCTAGGGACAGTGTCATACTATACAATTATTTTTAAGGCATTAGACGGACTTCAAAATTACCCTAACACAAACCAAATCTAGAATGGCCCCAACTCCTTTCATTTTCTGGACATGTGCCAACTGCTAGAGTTAGGATTAGGCATTATTACGCCCCGGAGCCGTCTTCCAAATTTAGTATAATCAAACGATCACAGCTACAGACGGTTCCATCCCACTGAGGGAGATACAGGTCACCCCCTCACGTCTCCAGGACACTGACGTTTGTCGGTGAGACGATACCCGGACACGGGAGGAGTCACGGAAACGGAAAACCTGTCAATCAATCAATCGGCGAGACATTAGACAACGATGACCACTACATCTTACTTATTGAAAAAAATGTGCATGGGGTTCTAGATGGGGACACCGAATCAGATTTGGTCAATTCTTTGAGACAGCTTTTTGATCTTATGGTAAATATAATTGATCGGTTAGGGAAAACTTACACGTTTGAACACAAGATCGATCGTATAGGCGCTGCATTGACGTCACTGAACGCAAAAGTTGTAACGCTGTAGCAACAGAACAAGGAAGTTGTAAGGATAAACAGGAAACTAGAAAAGCAGTACGGGAACTATTAGGGAATTATATGACAAAATAAAAGCAACACAAGAGAAAAGTAAAATTGAGAAAATGAGACAGCATTATCAAAAACACAGGGTGAAATTCAAGGCTTAATGAATGAAGCCGAAAGTATCGGTAGAAACTAGAGCCAGTCAGGGATCACACGTCGTATGGAAATCGCGAACGTGCGCCGTTACCAGAGATACGTGCGCGGTAAATGCTGACCAGTGGTGGTCCGTTTCCTTTACTACCTACGATAAGCGAAAGGACAAAGATCATGGGTGCCGGCTCAGAGGTACTAGATTTGATATCAATGAGCAGTTTTCTGGCGCAGTGGAAGAACGAAGGGAAAGGCAATACCAGGTATCAAGGCACTACAAACGCACTGGTGACCATACTTAACTCGTCCGAAATCGACTACCAATGGATGGAGAACTGTGTGTTGAAGACAATGAACACACATCAGGTAACCAGCGGTTTTATTGAGATACAGAATTCTTCATCCTCCCAGCAGCATCCTTCTGTTGATACCTGAACACCAAACAGAGGACGACAAAAGGGGACGTAACTCCGTCTGATGGACATGAACGACATCAGCCGCGCGCGCACTGGTTCGCTGAAAGATCCAATGTCAGCCAGGTTCCTGGCCACATGAGGGACATACAGCTCGACCTGTTTTCTCGCCAAGATCGCCTGGGGGATATTGGACGTCTCCACAATAGAGATAGAAGGGACCTCTTTCGCGACCGAATTTAGACACGCGCTTCGAGAGTAGTGAAATGGACAGGAGTAATATGCCTGGGCCTAACCTCGACTTATCATATTAGGGTTGTGTGGAGGAACTTTCCATAATATTATGGAATATCTGTAGGGCCATTAAGGATAAACCAGGTACTGAACAGAAATACTATAGATAAGCACGGCGTTGTGTTTGTAAGCAACTTGGGTTGACAAAGATGAGGGAGAAGAATAGGAAGGATATTACGTTGTGTGTTTCCTGGAGTACTTGGTAGAGGCAGAGGAATTGTTCTCCTTATTGAATCAGTGATTTGTCATTTTTATAATGTGATAATGGAAATAGTAACATTGTATTGTTGAAAATATCCAGTAATTTAACTGAAGATCTAGTGATATATATTTTAGTTTGTTATTTCCCACCTATTGATAGTACTGTTTACCGAGTATACAATGACGACATATCTAGTCCAGAAGTGTTGGTAAGTCATTATAAAGGGATGGTGATTGTGTTTGGAGATTTTATCGGTAGAACGGGTATTCAGGATGATGGTGATTGTGTTTGGAGATTTTATCGGTAGAACGGGTATTCAGGATAACGGT